TCCTTCCTACGTTTTGTGGGAGGACATCACTATCAAACTGAAGAAAACATGGGAGAAAGCAGAAATATTTACCTAGCACTAGACTCAAAAGTCACATTATAAAATTTTCCTAAGAACATTGAGGGAATGTGGGGAAACAATAACCTGGCTTTGTTCCCATTGTATCCCGCCATTTAAATTTAGTATAAATGAGCTGATGTTGTTTTTGATATCTCACTGGAGTGGAAACCATGACTTTGAAACTTAGGGGAGGGAGAAGGTCTCTGGCTTTAATATTTGTCCACACGGACATCTGACATGCTTGAAGCTCCTTCCCATGCAGGGTTCGAGATGGATTAACCATTTTGATCGTCTCTTCTGCTCTGTTTGCTAGAGACGTGGTACCTCAGAGGCTAAGATGCTGAGCTTGTCGATCAGAAAGGTCGGCGGTTCGAATCCCCAGTGCCACATAATGGAGTGAGCTCCCGTTCCTTGACCCAGCTTCTGCCAACCTCGCAGTTCGAAAGCACGTAAAAAAAAAAATGCAAATAGAAAAACAGGGACCACTTTGGTGGGAAGGTAACAGCATTCTGTGCTCCTTCTGCGTTTAGCCATGCCAGCCACAGGACCCTGGAGACGTCTTCCGACAGCGCTGGTTCTTCTTTGGCTTTGTAATGGGGATGAGCACCGCCCCCGAGAGCTGGAAATGACTAGCACGTATGTGCGAGAGGAACCTGCACTGTTTGAAGAAAAAGCCAATCAACCTTTTCACCTTCACTTGGACATCTTCAGTGTAACTTCAGAGCTGGAGGTTTCTTCTTCTGCTGCTGTTGATACAGCAGCGTCAATCCTCTGTGTTAGGACACATTGTCTGGAATAACGTCAAGATAATTGAAGCTGCCGGTTGTATCATCAGAGACCCTGCAATGGAGAACTATTAATGCCAGCAGTTCATGAAAACAGTCATTCGTCTTTAGCACGGAGTCAAGCAGCTCCTTGAGAGATGAAGATGTTTGTCATTGCTCTCAAATCAGTCCGTTTTCCCGCAAAATCCTCCTGTGTCATTTTTAACCGACTGACAATGAACAACAAAGTCAGGAAATTAAGCCAAAATTATGAGGTCATTTATCTCCTCTGGATGACACCCTTATGGAGTGGGGGGCAGCCAAGCATTATTTGTAAACCCCACCCGAATCCTGTTTCATCCCCTTCTTTAACTTTCTATAGAGATGGTGGAATTCTACTAATCAGCGAGTTTTGGGAGTCATGAAGGCCACCATCCAAGCCCTGATAACCACTTTAATTCTACATCAGCATTTCCTGTCCAATTCTTTGTATTCTTAGTAAGGCACTTGGAATATTGCATTCAGTTTTGGTCTCCATGATGTAAAAAAGATGTTGAGACTCTGTTGTGGTTAGCCAGCAGCAGTGAGGAGGAGGTTCCCAAGGAGCCTGTGCCAAGTGCGCGTGAGCGCAGGATGATTCATAGAAGAACAGCATAGACGACTTGGGAGTAAGATTGTAACATAATGGCCCTTCCCTTCAGGGCATATAAGTCTGGTTTCAAAGGTTTTTTTTTTTTTTTGCTTTTACAAAAAGCAAAAACGTTGGAAGAACCCAGCATAGTGTGTAGAGACTCCAGCTTATCTGAAGAATTATATCAAGGCTTTTCTGGTTGGACTAATTGTCTGCAAGCCATCTTTTATCTACAAAGAAGTTTATTTGTAGATTAAAGCTGTGAAGGTTTGAGTTACTGAGTTTGTTTGAGATTTCTTGCTGGTATCAGGGTTGGGTCAGAACAGACTCTAGAAAGAGTGCAGAGAAGAGCAACAAAGAGGATTCAGGTGCTGGGGGATAAAACATACAAAGAACGGTTGCAGGAACTGGGTATGTCTAGTATAATGAAAAGAAGGACCACGGGTGACATGATAGCAGTCTTCCAATATTTGAGGGGGTACCACAGAGAAGAGGGGGTCAAGCTGTTCTCCAAAGCACCTGAAGGCAGGACAAGAAGCAACTAGATGGAAACTAATCAAGGAGAGAAGCAACCTAGAACTTAGGAGACATTTCCTGACAGAACAATTAATCAGTGGAACAACTTGCCTCCAGAATACTCCAACACTGGAAGGTTTTTTTTTTAAAAAAAATGTTGGATAACCATTTGTCTGAAGTGATGTAGGGTTTCCTGCCTTGGCAGGTGGGTTGGACTAGAAGATCTCCAAGGTCCCTTCCAGCTCTGTTATTATTATCATCAGCTGCAGATTAAAAACAAGGACCCTTCTCCATTGTTCAAATATTAGCCCAAACTGCAGACTTGCCCACTGAGGTTCAGCATCAGTAAGGCATTCCTGGAGCTTCTGTTTAACAAAACATTGATTGTTCCATCAGTGAGCTCAGTTTGTTCTATCTCTACAATTTGACTTATTACAGGCAGTACTCCCTAGCAAATGTCCATCTGGGTCAACCTTCGAATGGTGATTAACAGCTGCTTCTGGGAAAAGCAGAGCTGATGATAGACAGGAAGGTGTTTATCTCTCCTTGTTTCTTCCCAGGAAAGGGCCCTCAATGGGCAAATTCCCTTTGGACTAGGGAAGCCTAACACTGTGAAAAGAAAATATTGGAGGAAAGAGATGGTTGGAATTGGAGCGGGAAAATATAGAGCTGCCGAGGGAGGTGAAAAGCAAAGAGACAACCAGATGGGGTCTGGAGATAAGAACGGATGGGCAGGAGGTCCCCAGGAAGCAAGCCTTCTAGAACTGACTTGGAGTGACAACGACCAAAGAGAGGAACTTTGCCATGCGACTGAACATCTAATGACCAACGGAAGGCAGAGAGGATATAAAAAGGAATGTTAGTCAGGGATTCAAAGGGAAGCTTTGAGGGACTTCAATCAACTTCACCATTCCTGCAAATTCTGATTGGATCCTGGGATCTCCTCTTTCTCAGCCCAATTTTCAGTGGAGGAAAACCATGAGTAAAGATGGTTGAATAGGAGCGGCAGCCAAAAAATGAAATGAAATCCTATGAAAGCCAATGAAATCCTATGTTAACAGAGGGATACAGTCAAGATCAAGTGAAGTACTAATACCACTCGGTAAAGCCTTAGTAAGGCCACACCTAGAGTACTGCATCCAGTTTCGGTCACCACACTATAAAAAGAGGTTGAGACTCTAGAAAGAGAGCAGAGAAGAGCAACCAGGATGATTAGGGGACTGGAGGCTAAAACATATGTAGAACAGTTATAGGAACTGGGCTTGGCTAGTCTAGTGAAGAGAAGGACCGGGGAGACGTGATAGCAGTCTTCCAATATTTGAGGGGCTGCCGCAGAGAGGAAGGGGGTCAAGCTATTCTCCAAGGCACTGGAAGGCCAGACAAAGAATAATGGATGGAAACTGATCAAGGAGAGATTCAACCTGGAAATAAGGAGAAATTTTTCTGACAGTCAGAAAAATCAACCAATGGAACAGAAGTTGCCTTCAGAAACTGTGAGAGCTTCATCACTGGAGGCTTTCAAGAAGAGATTGGACTGCCATTTGTCAGAAATGATGTAGGGTCTCCTGCTTGGGTGCGGGATTGGACTAGATGACCTGCAAGGTCCCTTCCAACTCTGTAAATCTGTTAAGATCTACTTGTACGAGCAACTCTTAAGCAAACTGACTCCAATAAAGCTGTGTGTTTCTTTCTAACTAAGATCTGAGCACCGCTGTCTCCATTTAAACTGTCCTTAAGAAATCCTCTTGTACTGGTTATCTGCTGTGAAGCCTCAACTGCACTTATCTAGTCTCTGGATTAGGGAGAATGTAAGGTTGGGACAGTGGTGGGTAGACGTCTCATTGGGGAAGAGGGGTTGAAATAAAGAAAAGAAATGAAGTACAGATATGGAAAAAACGTACAACGTACAGCATCCCACTGTAGCCTTAGCCTCCCCGTGGAAAAGTTTCCTCCACTTTTCAAACTTTCCAGTGAAGAGAGAGACAGAGATTGTATTTCACGTTAACACATAGATTTTTTTGCTGAGCAAGGATTTCTTTACTTCTTCTTTTTTCCTTCTAAACATCTCCCCCGCTCCTTTTTAAAAAATAAAAAATAAAATCCCTCAACCATCATCGTCATGGGATCTTCTGAGAATTTTAGAACTTGCAGGAGGTGCAGAAAAAAATAAACACGCGCGCGCGCGCACACATACACACACACAGCTCTGCACTTTCTCCTTAGCCTAGGCCACTTGACAAAGCCTCTGCCCACCCCACCCCCGCTACCCCCCCCCCCAAGGTCAGAGTGGAAGGATTGTGGTACTGCCCCTTCCAATGAGTTGTGCTTCGGAGTGTGTTCGTTTGTGCTAGTTAAGTTCTTCGGTTCCAGCTAAGCAGCGAGCTGATGAAAAGAGAAGCGTGTGTCCTCATTAAATCCACGCCCAGTTGGAAGGCTGCACATCAAAGGGAACAGGTCAGCTCCGGAGTACGGTTGCATGCACGTGCGCGCGCGCACACACACACACACACACACACACACAAACACACACTCTTTTCCCTGAAGTGCCTGGGCTGCAAACCTATCAATTATGTCCCCTTTCTAACTTCCCTTATGACAAAACTTAGTCTTGGCTCTATCAATCATTATCCAAAGCTTGTTCTCTCTCTCTCTCTCTCTCTCTCTGTCTCTCCCCCTCCTTCCCTCCCCCACGTGTGTAGGTGGAGCCCTTTTGCAATAAGAAAGAGAGGGGGATAACAAAATGAAGAGAATGCAAACATGTCAGGATTCCCCACTGCCATCCTGGTGTGGCAAACCAGATAAAACTCACTTCAGTTCAAAGCTTGCTGTCTCTCGCTGCCTGTCAAGCCCTTTTCAGGTGCTTCTTTCCTGCTTGGGAGACATCACACACCTTTGCCTGGGCTGTGAATCGTCCTAGGAAGTTTTCTTTTTAATCTGTTTTATACATACCAAGGATCGTGGTTTTTTTTTTGCTTGTTTGTTTCCCCTTCTTCTTCTTCTTCTTCTTTCCCCTTTCTTTTCAGTGCCTGCGTGAGCAATCCCCTATCATGTTTTTGCACCTGGATGAAGTGGATCCTTCTCTGCTCTTTTACATGGGAGCCACGGTGCTCTACGGCGGGACCATTTTCTATCGAGCGAAGAAGAACCGACTGGAGAAAAAGACCCCCTTTTGCTGGGGTCTCCTGTTGCTTTTGACCCTGGAAGTCCTCTGCTTTGCTACCTTGAGAAGTGCCCTGGGCTTGGCTCTGTTCTCCCTGGCGTGCCTTGTGTTTTGCTTGTACACTCCTGTGCAAGCAATGTTGCCCGTCGGTCGTAAGGCAGTTCTGATTACAGGTAAGGGGAGATGGAATGTCTAAGGATGGGTTAGCCGTCCTACCTTCTCGAGTGGAATGGCCAAGTTGGAATTGGCACAGTTTCCTCTAAAAGTAGAAGATTTCTAGCGGGCTTAGCTAACATCTTTCCTTTTTAATAATTTGTATTAAATTTTACACTTTTAAAAACAAATCTTATGTACAATATTTGCAGTAGGTTGTGGCGTGAACTTTTCTATTTTCATTTACATACATACATACATACATACATAATTTACATTTTGCATTATCTTTTATTCCTGTTACCTAACCAAACATACCATTTTCCCGAGACCGTATAATATTCTTTTTCTTCCTTCTCTTGCAATTCCATTGTAAGTTTACTCATTTCTGCACACTCCATAATTTTCTTTATGATCATTTTATCTGTGGGATTACTCTCTAGTTTCCAATTTGGTGCATACGTTATTCTAGAATTTGGGGCATACGTTATTATAGCTTCTGTCAGTGTATGTATTGTTATATATTCAATGCCCTTCTTATATTCACCTCTGATTATCCGTAATAAAAACATTTCTGGCTTAAGTTCTATTTTTAAACCAATTATTTCTTGCAGCCAGATCCCTTTTTTATTCCAAAATGTCTTTGCTTTAGAACGTTGGTCTGCTTTGCCTGGTATAGAAATAAGGTTATTTTAAGGATGCTTTGGATCTGTTAGGGATTGTGTGAAAGTTGGGATGGGCTTTTGGGTAAGGAAGCTTTGGGATGCAGGAGCAGTGAGGTGCCCTTGTTGCACGCT